AAAAAAAAAAAAAAAGTAAAGCAAACTGAAGCATACAAAGCAATATATGAAAAAGCAATTCATGTAATTATAACGTATAAGTCTTTATTTTAAAGTTATCATTGACTTCAAAATCTTAGATCAACATAAAAGTTTTATTAACTTTGAATACCGTACAGCCTTTTATATAAGCTTCAGTACACTATATTCGAGTCACGTGAGAATATTACGTCACGCTAAGAAATCAGCCATTTTTGGTGGCAAAAATAATCAGAGCACCATGGACACCGTCCGAATTTACCAGAAAATGCAACATCGCAAGCCAGGCTCTACTTCCGCTTCCCTCTCAAACACACTTTCCAGCAGAGAGTGTTTAGGAGGGAAGCGGAAGTAGAGAACCTGGCTTGCGAGGTCGCCGGCAGAAAACCTTTTGAATTACGGCATGAGCGATGATTTGAACTGTCCTATCAAAGCAAAAAAATTAGAAAATCTGGGTAGTAATTGACGCCGTGTAAGTTTTTATCTTTTTATTCAGCTTTGAACAGGGCCACCCATAGAAATTCGGGGACCCGGGGCAAATTTTTAATTCGGGGCCCTAACTTTTTCCGCAAATTTTGGCGAGTGGCAGGGAGGGAGGGATTCGAACCACTGAGCTCTAGAGCTCAGTGGTTCGAACGCTATACAAAGTAATAGCAGGGTCCAAAACCTAAATTTTTAAAAGGGATTAAGAAATTTTTTTCGAACCCTTGCTCGTAAAACTACTAGCAAATTTATTTGAATTTTATATGCACATCTATGAGCAGTGTGTATATAATCTCAATGTTTGTCATTGCAATATTTCGCAATATTTTACATATACCTACGCGTGGATTATACATGATATCATTTGGATTCACACCGTTGACCAGACAGAAGGCAACGTAATCATCTTGTATATACCCTTCTCGTAAAAGCAATTGTGTGACAAGATTCTGACTTCAGAAATTTAATACACTGCATGTCTCAAAACAATTTTAAGACGACACATACCATAACATTGTATAAAATTGCAACGAAACGTAAAATTATCTACAATTTATTTTGGTTAAAGGCTGTGGGAGTTTTATTCAACTGTAAAGATCGCGGGCATCTTACCCGACAATTTTCAAGATTTAAAAAAAAAAAGAGTTTAAAAAAAAGTTTAAAAAAAGCAAAAAAAAAGTTTAAAAAGTTAGATTTTTAAAAAAGTTTGAAAAAGTTAGATTAGGGTTAGGGAATAGTGTTAGTGGTTAGGTGCCGCGAATTTATTGTATTGATAAATTTGGTGACGTTTACTCATATGGTAAATTCAAAGGTGGAGCTCATGCTGCAATACAGACGTCCAATAAACCATAGTTTTCGTCTATATATAATATGCACATGAATATGAGCAGTGTGTATAATCTCAAATGTTTGTCATTGCAATATTTTGCAATATTTTACATGTACCTACATGGATTATGCTAGGTAGGCTATTAAATTAACAAGCATAGTAAATATTTAAAAAGTAATATATGGTTATACACTCAAGTCTCTATGTAATAAGCCGGTAAGGACCATTCTGATAGCTGACGCTCTTGGTTGATATACGAGTATACGCGAGTAAGTTTATAACATCAAACTGTGAAACTAAGTCAAGACCTAACATCAAACTGTGAAACTAACTCAAAACCTCAAAGGTCGTAGGTTCGATTCCCACCGTGGTCAGGCATATTTTTCAAGCTTGCCCCCTGTGGATTTTCACTCAGAGTAACATCACACAAGCATCATATTCACCTGAGTACATTACACCAACACAGAAAAATCATGATTATTTAATAGATAGTTACTGAGGCCAACGGCATTATTTCGGCCTCAGCTGGCTGCAATATATCGAATAATGCCGTTTGGCCGAAGTAATTATCTATTATAATTACTGACCCGAATCAATAGTAATTATTTTCGGCTGGAAGACTACATTGCTGCTTGTTGGGACCGTATGACAATGAGTCTATCCAACGTTACACTAGACTCATTTGTGAGGACATGCATGTAATGCATCGTGATAGAACAGATTTCAGTTTAATTAATCGCCCTAAATTAAAATCTGCACAAGCGGA